AGTTTGTTTTCCTTTTTTTTTTAAAAATTCTTTAAAACTATAAAAGTTATATTTCCATATAAATAATTATTTAATCATGTATTTTTTAAAGGTGGGTTTAATATAATAAATACTAAAAATGATTTAATACGATTTTCCTACAATTTAGAATATCAGAAAAATATTTTTCTTATATTTAATACTAGGTGTTTTGCCCGCATATGCGGGCTTAATCTTTTTATAAATATTTATTAGTGTATGTTTTGTCAATTAATAACCAAGTAGTATAAGTTAATATTATGTTCTCAAAAGATATAAATCAAACTTATAATTATTTATCTTGATACAAATGTTTTTGCTTGATTAATATTAAATTATAAATTATTTTCTATTTTTTAAAACAAAAATTATAATAGAATAATATTATTTTTTGAAGCCAAAATTATTTTCTTATAAAATTACAATATATAAGAATCACAATAATAAAATATTTAAGAATTATCTTATTTTGGAATTTTTTTATTTTTGATAATTTTATTATATTGTGATAATCAATTATCTAAGATAATAACATATAAAACTACAATATATATAAGAATCACCATGTTTTTACAATATTTTTTACAGATAACAACAAAATATTTAAGAATTATCTTTTTTTTTTTAATTTTATTTTTTGATAAGTTTATTATATTATGATAATCAGTTATCAAAATCCAAATCAATTATATATAAAATTAAAATATATAAGCATTATCATGTTGTTACAATATTATATTCAGATAATAATAACATATATAAAAATTCTCTTATTTTTGATTTTTTTATAAACTTATTATATTAATTATTTTTAGTTATCTAAGATAATAACATAGTAATCTAATATTATTTTCTAAATTTCGTTTTTAATTATAGAATTAGTTATATATATAAATTTTGTTAAGGGTAGTATAGATATTAACCACTCTAACTTTTAACGTAAGAGCTCTGTTGCGAAAAAATCACTTCGCAAATAATAGTATAGACTAGGTGATTTTTCCGTGCTCATGCACGGGTATGAATATTCATAAAAATAAAATTTTATAAGAATTGATTGATATTTACTTTTACTTTTGAATCAATTTCTATGTATACTTTATATTAATAAATATTATATTATTCTAATTATACATATGACTTTGGATATGTTATTGTCGATTTAATTATTTTTTGTATCAATAGTCGGTTTGGTTATCAATTTGATATATTGGATAATATCTATTTTCCGAGTTCAGCTATAATGTTTATTTCTAAATAGAATAAAATTTTGTTAATTTTCTTATTTTCATTTCGGTTGGTTATTGTCTTAGATATGTAAATATATTCTTAGATATGTAAATATACTATGGTTTAATTATGTATAACTTAACATATATTCTGCTTAAAGTGAAATATATAATAAGCTAAAGTGTTTGATTCAAAATTACATAGATGAATATAATAATAATATTTTGAAGTCTCGGCATATATATAAATTCTACAAAAGAATTAAATTGTAATTGGTTAATATTTTATTTTTTATTTTTAATAAGCTTTGAATCAACCTCTAGTTTATATGTATAAAATTAAATATATTATTATTATTATAATAAATTATATTTTCTTATTTTATTTGGATGTTTAATTTTGGATATAAATTAGATTAGTCGAGTCATTCATTTTGTGAGTATATTGAGTTAAATATATTTTTAAATTAAAATTGACGCATAATTACTTTTTATTTTAGTTGAGTCAAATCAAATTAGTTTTAAACTTTTATGTATCGCTTAAATATACATGTATTTTCAGAATATTTATTTACTCTTTATTTTAGTTAAGTCAAATCAAATTAGTTTTATTTATCGCTTAAATATACATGTATTCTCATAATATTTATCAAATTATATGTCAATTTCTCAAAAAAATATTAGAATATAAAGTGTCACTGATAAATTTTTGGATGTTCATGAATATATATATTTTTATTATTTTGAAAATATATTTTAAGTTATTTAAAAATATATATTAATGGGGGTATTACTATTTTGTGAACTTTTCTTTTTAATAAAGTCATATTATGTATATATTAATGAGGGTATTACTATTTTGTGAACTTTACTTTTTTAATAAAGTCATATTATATACATAAAATTTCGTTTTTAAATTTATTTTAAAATTATGAAATATTTCCTTTTTATTATATATGTTATTTGGAAAAAGATAAAAACAAATTAAATAAAAAATTTAATAATAATCTTAAAATCTAACAATTCATTAAGGGTATCTATGTAATCAACCATTGCGAGAGTTAACGTGAGCGCGACACGTAGGAAACTGACTTCGCAAATAATATTATAGAGATTTTTTCTGCTTAAACAATATTAAACATCTAAAATTTGTAAAAGGCTTCTCATAATTTTATTTTAATTGTAATATTCCTTTGTCAAGAATCTTATTTGCAAGGTTAAATAAAAAATAGGTTTACTTATAATTACAAAACTTATAAGTTTATTTTAATGGTAATACTCCTTGAACCTTATTTTCAAGTTAAAGGAAAATATATGGGTTGAAAATAATTACAAAGTCAATAGGCATTGGTTTAAGATAAATAATTCCTTTGAATAACTACACATTTGATTTTCTTATAAATATCTAATAGTTTTTTTTCTTATAAACATGAAATTATTAATAAGCGAAAATTTTAGAAAAATAAGTACAATTTTAAAATTAATATATGAATGTTGTATTTTCCTTATCTTCTATTATTTTAATATCAATATATGTCTATATTTTTATTGCCGTAATATAACTTAAAAAAAAATTGTCATTAAAATTTTTCGTATTATAATTTTTTGGTATTGTTTTTTACTGTTGTCATATTTTTCATGAATAATCATAAGAAAATTATGATGTTTTCATGTTTGGGTTTTATATATGTTTGGTTACATGAGATCAAACACATATCTAATATTTTTTAGGTGTTTTATCATTAAATATTTATTATTATTATTATTATTATTATTATTATTATTATTATTATTATTATTATTATTATTATTATTATTATTATTGTCTCCGTGTAACTGATCTTTATATGTATTTGGTTAAAACTTCCAATTTTGTACATAATTTTTATTAAATTTTCTGAATTTAACTATGCAATATTTTATTATACTTCATTTTTATTTTAAGTTTATAATGGATATGTAGTATCAAGAAACAATGAATTCAAACAAATTGTTTAAACTGAACCAGTTAAATAAACGAATATCTTTACTGTTACTAAAAAGTGAGAAGCAAATTATTTTGAAAATAATAGACAACGAATAGGAATTTCTTTTTATCTCTTTCCATTATTAAAAATATTATATATATATATATATATACTTATAATTATGTAACTAATTTTTTTTTATACAAAAAGTATAATTTAGGTTAGATACATATTTCTTTTTCTTGAAAATGTTATTACTATAAATATGAATCTAAAGTGAAAAGATTATAAAGAAAAATGAGAATCCAATATATATCTATATTGAAATTCATATTAGAAATGAAGTTAAAATAACTTCTTAATGATTGTAATTTTAGCTATATTACAACATATACTAATACAATTTATTATTTACTAGGACCGGTCCGTGCTTCGCGCGGATTTACTTTTTGTGTGATGTATACATATATAATTGTAGCTTATTTTGAATGTGTTCTATAAAAAAATTTCGAGTGAAATGTATTATAATTTTGTGGATTTTAAGAATGTTGGTGCGTAGAAGGATTATGTATGTTAATTAAAATTATTCATGTATGATTTCTGTGTTTATGTTTATATTAGTTGGTATTTTGTAGTTTTGTGATAACTCAGAATCCATGATTGGTTGGTTAATTGTGTTTTTGCTATATTTTGTAACTTATTTAAGACTTTTGTAGGTTAGTTATATTTTTTTACTTTTACTATTACTATTATGCAAACAGTTTGGTTTTATTATTTATATTTTCATAAATTCTTTATTCATTTAATGTATTATGTTATCATATTTAAATATGTAGTGTATATTGGAAACTATAAAAATATAAACTACTAAAATGAATTTTAACTTATCAGGATGAAAACATAAATAATTCTAAAATTACATTACTTAAAAATTTTACCACAGTGAAAAATAGGTTGAAATTTAGATCATTTATAATTTTGATTTCTTAACTCCTATATGCATTCTATTCTCTAATTTTTATTTTATAATTAGTGGCGAAGAGTTTAAATTTTTCTCCAAAAGAAATATCTCTAGAAGTATACATGAAAGATAAAATGGGGTTGTTGGAAATTTTCTTCCAATTTCAAAAATGTTGATCTAATAACTTTTTTTTTTGGAAATACCTTGATAGAAGTAACAGTTAATTGGTTATTGAATATTTTTCTGAAATTTAATAATCGTCGAGAAACATACAATAGTTTTCAAATGTGATTGGTAATTACTCTGAATGCTCTCTCTCTCTCTCTCTCTCTCTCTCTCTATATATATATATATATATATATATATATATATATATATATATATTGAACATGCTTTCTATATTCTTTTTTTTTAAAACACCTATTTATCAATAATGTTCTAAGAAAATAATTTTAAAACTACAGCCAAAAAATTTAAATTGAAAAACATATTGTTTTTGGAAATCATTTTTCTAGGGTTTTATACTTAGTGGGTTGGAAATTATTAATATATATCTATATCAATAAAATCTATAGCTACAACAAAAAAATATATAGCTTATATTCTAAAGAAAAATATAAATCCACATCCTCTACCAATCAAACACTCATGAGGTTCTTTATGTTATGAAAACTAAATTTCTCTATAAATATCATTCTTACATATTATTAGATTTTATGGGATTCTTGTTTCTCATCATCCATAAGATATAACATTATAGATATTATATATTTGTGTATCGCTGTTAAGTGAATTTTCCTATTGACCTCCATTAAAGGAAAAAAATACATGTTAATCAACATTCTGTATGGTACAATCAAAATAGATTTTTAAATATAAATCAAATAATGTTTTGTTAAAACTAATAATTAATATTTGGGTTCTGCTATTTAAAATATGGCATTTTGAGCAATTTCTCATTAAATTATGATATCTTTTCTAAGGTATATTCATTTTTATTAAAATTCTTAGAATAGTCTGTATATTTTTTTACAAATTTTCTCAGAATATTTTCAAAAATATGGTCTTCACAACATACATGTTTGTGGCTACAAGATTTAAAGTAGTATTGAAATGAATAATGTATTAATAGTTGTTTCATCACCTATAGATTACATGATAATGTTGATCTAGTGTTTTCTCTTAGTTAAACAAATAAGATAATTTTCAATTCACCTATAGATTCATTAGTATACTTTCTTTTGAAATAGTGAAGTTTTATTATAAAGTTAGATTTGCTTAACTGTATGATTTTGAATAGATTTTTTTTTTTATAGAAATATAGAGTAAGACTATTTTGTCTCTAAATATAGAGATGTATATATTTTCACTGATTTGATTGCATTGATTCAGCTTTATAATTTATTGTATTTTACTCTAATTCATATATTTCCAAGGTTAGATTCAATTTAAATTTTTGGGTTTAGATTTTTTTCTATTTCCCTAAATTTAAAATTGCTAATAACTGTTATGCACTATGATTACTGAAACATAGCCGACAAAAAATATATTACTAAAACATAAATACTAACCAAAATTTATGTAGAAAAACAAGTTTTATTCCTAAAATAAATTTCACGCAATATATGAAAAAATTCAAAAATTATCAAAAAAAAAATCTCATTTTTATGTTTTTCATAAAATTAAATCAGATAATTGTATTCTCTTGATCTTACTAGTACTAGATGACGCCCTTGATTTTTAAAAATTTTGTGCTGCCCTAAGCGAAGGTTTCTTTGTTTCTTATTTAGGCACCGCCCTGACCAGCAGGTTTGGAGATCGTCCTCCTTATAATGTATCCATCTATCTACTATTAGCTGATAAAGAACACATTGAAGGTGAACAGATATACACCCTAGCGGATTTGCGAATTCTTGACCCATTTGGATGCAATCACGTGACATGGAAGAGCAAGTCGCACACATTAGTTTTTTAATTAGTTAGTTACTCATTTGGAAGCAGTCACGTGATGGGATTAAATTGGTGATTGCATTCTATTTAATTGCAGTTAACCGCTGGAACGAGAGATCAGAAGACTTACTCAAAGGTTTGGATTGGCATGATTTTGTGTCGTTGCAAAACTTGAGAAGGCTTTACTTGGACAAAGAAGGCTCATTGAAAGTGGAGATCGAATTTGAAGTTGTTCCCACCACCAAATACTCTTCATGAGGATCTATAACACACCAGTTACTTCTCATTAATTATCAATTATTTATGTTTTTTTTTATTATAATTCTGATTCTAGGTTTCCTTATCTTGATCAATCAGAAGAAATATATTTGTCTGTTGATATTTAGCTTTGGCTTTTTATTTATTTTTATAATATCATCTCTATAATATTATTTGAGAAGTCAATTTCTTATGTGTCGCGCTCACGTTAACTCTCACGCTGGTTGATTACTATGATACCCCTAATGAATTAAAAATTCAATTAAATATTATATCCTTTTAAAAAAAAATCAAATAACAATATAAAATAAAAAGAAACATTTATAAAATTTACAAAACTATTTAAAAACGAAAATATAAGTATATATAATATGGTTTAATAAAAAAGGAAAGTTCACAAAATAGTAATATTTAATTTAAATATATCTCTCTAATATTATTTGAGAAGTCAATTTCCTACGTGTCGCGCTCACGTTAACTCTCACGATGGTTAATTACATAGATACTCTTAATGAACACAAATATTAAATAAGATTGATATTAATAATTTATATCCTTTTCTCATAATAAGATTTTACTTAATTTTTTAATATATGTTTACTTTTTAAACACACATATACAAAAAAAGAAATATTTATGAAATAAAATGTTTATATATAAACGAAATTAAATATTGTTTTGAAATTTTCATAAAACAACATTTTTAGTGTTTATTTAAGAGATATTAAAAAGTAAAATAATTTTTTTAACACAAATAAATATTTTGATCAAATAATTTCAAATTTTTTAAATAGCGTAGCACTATACACTATTAATGAAATGAAAATATTATATTAAAAATTCTTTTTAATATATAGTTTGCTTTTTAATTTTATGTTTTTATGTTTATGGAACTTAATAGATAAATAATCAAAATACTCAAGTAAATCTAAGTTCTCATTTTTAAGATTGTTTAAAAAGTTTCAATTTACCTTTTAAGAAATTTAAGGTATAAAATAATTTAGAATTTAGAAATATTTAATTATTGTAAATATTAATATGTTCTCATGAAATTTCAAATGTTTATCTTTATACTCATATTTATGATTGTAAATTCTTATTGATCGTCACTTTATTTTTTAATATATCTTAAAAATCAACATATGTCCAATTATTAAAAATCTTATAAAATACTTGCATTAAGCGGTAAATAAAAGTAATTTGATTTGATTTAATTAGAAAAATATATATAACTCAATATACTCACAAAACGAGTAATGGAACGAATCTAACTTATATCAAAAATAAAAGATCTAACTACAACAAGAACATATAATTTTAGAATAATTATTTATTTATTGTTATACACTAGGTAAAGAACCCGTGCGATATCGCACGAAAATTCATTTTGTGAAAAAATCACATTATATAATTGTTTTTGGAAAATAATAAAATCTATATTTTGTTTATAGATTAGTTAAAAACTTATAAATATGTCAATACTAAATAAGATATATGTCTTATTTATCTGTTTAGCTAAGTAATTTAGGAATCTTGAAAACAACTGAAATTAATTAAAAATAAACATATTAAAAGCTAATAATTTTGTTAATATTATAAAATAACTTATTACGCCAACTCTAAAAAAAACACACACATTTTTATCTAGTAGAAGAAAATTCATACTAATAACTTCATTATGTCATTTAGAATTTTTTATGTCTAGACACGAACAATTATTTCTTTTATCCTTTGTTAACAATACTTCATTTAAAATAGTTTAAGAATTTGTAATCAGGTTACTGCACACTTTTTTTTCTTCACCATTTTAACAAATTTGTGAAATATTACTTTGAGAAACTTATGGAATTGCCTATTTATAGTTTTCCAAAGAATTATATGAATAGTCACAATTTTCAAAAGATAGTTATTTGAAAATAGAACATTTATAATATATTTTGAATGGATATACAATACAGAAAAAACATTTTGTTGCATAATGAAAGGACAAAACTCTTAAATTATTGGAAACACTTTTAGTGATATTTTAACTACTTTTAAAACTAATTAAAATACAATAATTTTAAAACTAATACATTTTATAGATAATATCGAAAATCAAAATATATAATTGACAAATTCTTAATGAAAATTTTAGGATAAAACAACATAACTTAATGAAATGACAAATTTCTTTAATTATTCGAACACACTTTTAGGAATATTTTAACTACTTCTTTAAGCTAATTAAAAAGAAACAATTCTTAAAATTTATAAATTTTGTGATAATGTTGAAAAACACATAATAATTTAAGAATTTTTAATTATGGTTTGTCAATCCCACAATTCCTTATATAGAGAGTTAAAAGTTGCAAGGTTATCAACCATGCATCATAATAGTTAATTAAGAGTTATAGTTGTTAACACCAAAAGTTACAATAGTTCTTCATCAAAATCTATGATTACCAATAGTTACAATGATTTATTATATTTATAATAGATCTTCACCAAAGGTTACCATCATCTATAATTGTAAAATTTACTATAAAAATAAATATTTAACAAATGAATTAATTATAAAAAATTACTTAGAGTCAGACCTGCTTATAATTTCCCAATAATCTATACTAATAGCCACAACTTTCAGATCTGAAACAACAACAAAAAAATAGATAGTACATTTAGTATGAAAAGACACATTATTATAATAAAAGACTTATCAACAAATATTTGCAAAATCTTTCCAATAGTTACCTATGAAAAGACACATAATTATTGATACCCATACCATTTCATAATTTGAATTTTTTAAACACTATCTCATTTTATAATAAATACACTTCTTTAAACATTTTTTAGATTTTGTTATATTTTGAATATACTTTTATAATATATTTTTAAGGATTGGAACTTATAACCAAAACAAACAATAATTCATCAAATTTAAATAACAACAAAGTGGCTAAAATATTTGTAAATTTTATATATAATAATAAATTGCTTACTTTTGATTAACCGGAGCTGTTTCATCACACATGCATCTCTCATTTTCTTTTTTTCGTCTTTTCTCATTTTATTTGATATGTATCTTTTGACCAAATATAATTTAACCAAATAATTATAATGATACATTTTCTTCTACATGTGCCATAATTTTAATTTGGCTTGACAATTTTTAATTATCTTGACAAATTTTTAGATTTTATTGGAAAGTACAAAAAAAAAAGTTTTAATAAGAAGATGCAACCTTCATTTTTTTTTAATATTATTATTCTTTAAGTGAAAATATGTAAACTAAGCGTTATTATTTTGGAGATTTTCTCGCAAATTAAATTCATTAAAAATGAGTTTTGGAACAGTTCATGTGTTTTTGTCAATGATCTGATAGGAAACAGAAAATAAGAACAACAAATGAACTTTTTAACGTAGCTTATTCATAACAAAAAAAATTGTTCCATACACCTCTATATTATACAAAGAGATATATGTATATGTTTGTGTCCACTTTTTGCAGCAACCATGGCCTTGTCCAAAGAGAAAAGCGGAGAGAGAGGAACTGTGAAGAGCAAGAAGATAATGGTTTGGAAACATGGTTTCTTTTAGAGCATATGGCTCTGTAGGTTATCTTTAATTTTATGATCAGCGAGATTTATAAGAGCACCCCCATTGAAGGTTCTCAAAGGGGGTTCACACGCAAATCGAAAAAAAAATCTAAAATTCGACTCCAGGTTGTTTAAATAGAATCGAAAAGGTATGTGTGGTAAAGTATGAAAAACGAATAGGTACATATGACAGTTAATAGAAAGTTGCAACTGTAGGTTATTTACAGCTAATCAGTTCGAAAATGTATGATTATTGTGTAGTAAATAAGAAAAAATTTAAAAGTTAAGCGATTATGTCCAAATATAATAGGTACAAAATCGAAGGATACAACCTTTGGTGACATGTTTCACAACTTTTATTATCAGAAAATACATCTTTTGAGATTTTTATCATTGTTTCACAATTTTCTTATAAGTAGTGCATGTGAAAAGATGCATAATTATTGAATAATATATCATTTCAAAATTTGACAAGCTTTTAAAACTAATCACATTTTTATTATTTAAAAGACAATCGTTTACATTAATTGAAATTTCTGTTACATATTTTAAAAATAAAAGACACAGACTTTTCACATTAATTATGATTCATATTATTTCATAGTCGGTGTTAATATGAAAATTGCATCTCTTAAGTTTTTTGACATGAAAAGTTATATTTGTTAGCAATGTTTTGGAAACCGGACCGGTAATCAATTCGGCATTGTAGCTTAGTCAATGGTCGGACTAGTCCAACCGGATTTTATATTTTAATTTAATAATTATATATATAATATGTAATTATAAATTATTTTTATAAAATAATACATTTAAGTTATGATGATATATAACTCCACATTCTTATATCTTTTTACAAACTTTTAAAACATAGTATAATTTTAATATGAAAACACACATTTTTAGGAGAAAGCATTTATTTATACATTTTAGGAATTTTTTAAAAACCAAATGCTATATTAATTGGGATTTTTATTATTAAGGTTTTGAAACAGTTACTGTGTTTTTTTTTGGTTAATCTAATCTAACAGAAAACAAAAAAAAAAAGAAAAATAAATAGATTTTTTACGTACTCAATTCTTAACAAAAAAAAAATTGTTTCATACGCATTCATGTTATATATAGAGAAATTATTACATGCATGCGTCCACTTTTCCTAGTATTTATCAGTTTCCCAAAGAGAAAGAGAGAGAGAGAGAGAGAGGTACAATAAAAAGTAAAGAAAAATAATGGTATCGATATAGTATAGGGTTTTCCGTGGATAGATATGGTTATGTGAGTTTTTTTTTTTTTATAACATCACATTTTTATTAACTTTGATGACTGTTTAAAAGATCCATATGGAGATCATTAGTTATAGAGTAAGGAACATAAAAATGATAATAAAAATCAGAATCATTTGGTATAGCCATCCTAGCAAGA